TATTTAATTAAATTTATTTATGTAATAATAATACTAAAATCAATATATATTTTTATATTTTTATACAAATTTATAATTAAAAAAATATTTTAAATATGTGCTCTAAAAACATAAATTTAAAAAATTTTATTAATTATATTTTTAATTTATACCTTAAACTCTAATAATAGAATTAGTCTCCAACATCTTTATAATGACGTAAGTAACCCAACTTTTTTATCGGACTATCTCATCCTAGACTATTACGTTTTTTTAATAAGGTATATATTTTATTTTAAATAAAAATATGTATATTTAATAATTTATATAAAATATCAAAAAAAATATTTTATAATTTAAATTATTTCAATAAAACAATGGTCTTTTAATAAACAGTTACCTCTAATATTAGAAACTCTTTTTTCATAGAAAAATTTTTATTTTATAGTATAAAATAATTCAAACAGTTAAATAATGTTCTCAAAATATATGATTAAAACAGTAAACAAAATCATACGCATTTCACTATGGTATTTACAACCTCGATTAAGAGCCTACTCCTCTGCCCCTTAACATTCACTTTTGTCATGCAGTTAACATCCAGTAACATACAGTGATATACATTTATTACTTTCTACTTTGATCCAGTAATATTCAGAGGATGATTTGAAATAGTGCAGTGAAATGGTTGGGCAACGATAGCAGCCAGAGACGCATTTCTTTATGGGCATGAATGACACAAACTAGATCTAGAAACAGAAGGTTTCCACTTAAGCAAGGGGACCTATCTGTAATGACTCTACGGTGGATTTTGGTGGCTGCTTCCAGATCTGGGTTCAGCAGCTGTTTCACGTTGGTTCTCATGAAATCTATTGGTTTTGTGATCGATTTTGGATCTCAACTTCCAGATCAACAGTGACCTAGTCTCGGCAAAAGACGGCGATGCACGGAGACGGGAGAGAAAAAGAAGAAAGGAAGATAAGAAGAAGAAAGAAGAACGAGTGGTTCCAGAGCTACGCTAGTTGGAGAAGGAGAAAGAAGAGGAAAAGGGGGATTTCTGATTAACTGATTTCCTTTTTTTTCAACAGGTGTTTATTTCAGCTTTTTATAAATAACTATTCGTCTGTTAGTTCTTAAAACAGCCCTTATTTTGTACCCAAAAAAAAAAAAAAAAACAGCCCTTATTTATGAGGCATCACATTTTTGGCCAAAAAAAAAAAAGAGAAGGGTAGTTAGAATAATACTTCCCATAAAAAAAGTAATTTTTAGTGACATTAATAAATGAAAAAGGTGTTTTGTAAAATGTTTTATATTATATATAAAAGACATCTTTAAAAATATTATATTTTAATTATAATTTTAAAAATTAATTATTAAATTAAAATGTTTATTTTTTGAAATTATACATATTAATATTTAAATTAATTTAAAAATTTTAATTAGTTAGTTGATTACATAATATTTAATATTGATTAAATATATATTAATAAATAAAATTTTATAAGAATTATAAATATTATACTAATTTAAAATTTAAAATACTTAATTTAATGATTAATTTTTATAAATTTTAATTATAAAATAAATTTTAGATAAATTCTTTAAAAAAAAATTGATAGAATGATTTGGACTACACTTAACTTGTTAACAAATTACTGTGTGATGTCCGACATTAAATAGCCAAATGACCAAACCCCTTCAATGAAAAGCATTACGCCATCAAGTCCTGACTTTTACATTTAAATATTATTAATTTTAAAAAAAATTTAAATTTAAAAATAAATAAATAAATAAAATAGCGCATAATAATGAAAAAACCCTTCAAGTTAGCTCGAAAGTAAAGATTTCAGACACGTATAGAAATCAATACATGCAGAGATCTTTGTCTCACTAACAAAAACAGCAAGTGTTTATTGGAGTTGCAAACTAGCTAGTTTTAAAACTTTTATATAAAAATCTGTAGTTTAAAATTTCTACAATAACTACGCGGTTATATCTAGTGCATCAAATGAAAAGGAAACTTCGATATATAAGATCTTGTGGCAGGAAACTAACCTGAGAATTGCTAAAGATTCTCTTATGTCATCAACAGTCACAAATCCGGGATTAGTTCGCTGGAGAGTAGGCAATGAAAGAGGGTGTTAAGTCGCCAAGAAACTGAGCTTATAAATTCTGTCAGAAAGATGAGGCTATTTATACAGGTAGATATGACATCCACTCTCGAGAATTTTCCACGTTTAAGGCAATGCCGTGTAATATAAATTAAAAAGAGTAATTATCAAAAGGAGGAAAAATTGAAATGAAAAGTTTATATGAATGATGTGTTATATTATATTATTAAATTAATATATATATTATAAATTTTAAAAGACTTGAATAATATGTATGCCTTACGTTTTCAACGTGTTGACATTTTTTTCCAATGGGAACAGTGGCATATAATTTACTCCATCTCCATAGAAGCCTCCGCTCTAAGGTTGGTAAACGGCTGTACAAGACAAAAATGATGTGCTTTGGTTTCTTCGGGGATTTAAGACATACTTAACTTGAAGAAATTCATACTTTACGACTTAATTAATTATAAAGGTTAATTAATGGAGGTGGAATCAGCCACCAACAATAAATGATCCTTTTTTTAAAGGCGCTTAAATAACATTTGATCTTGTACGTACGAATTATTAATATTATATAAAACTCTGAACTTCTAGATTAATCATTTGTTTGGTAGTAATAAAAAGTAAACGATTCTTTTGATGTACAACAAAAATAAAAAAAATAAAAAGTAAACGATTGCAGGTAATAAAGAATTACAACTAACGGCAATTCAGGGCTTCCAGCATGAATTCAGGGCTTCCAGCAAGTCAGTTAATATTATATAAAACTCTGAACTTCTAGATTAATCATTTGTTAGCTAGGTAATAAAAAGTAAACGATTCTTCTGATGTATCAAAAAAAAATAAAAAGTAAACGATTGCAGGTAATAAAGAATTACAACTAACAGGAATTCAGGGGTTCCAGCATGAATTCAGGGCTTCAAGCAAGTCTTTCTCTGTTCAACGTTGTTAGTTTATTATTATTATTATTATTTTGGAGAGTGCATGCAGGTTAACAACAGAAATTCAAATCCGAAGAAAAATAGACATAAGAGAGTCGGGAAAACCGTTAGCTAGTGGACGAGGAGAGAGCGAAGCAAGGCGTCCGGCTGCGGTGTATGGAGGTAGCCAAGGACGGAGCCAGACTTTTAGGTGAGGGGGGTAAAATCTTAAAAATTTTTAGAATTATAATAAGTTTATATCAATATAATTTATATTAATTTTTAATTATTAATTATATAATTTGTTAATAAAATTATGTATATTCTTATCTTATATTTGGGTTGAATGAAAGAAAGGAAAAAATTTTCTCTCCTCATTTGGAAAAATAACTCAATTAAAAGAAAAAATAAAATAAAGGGAAAATTTCTTTTTTTTTTATTATTTCTCTCAATCCAAATATATTATTAGTCATAAATTTTGAATTTTATCCAAAATTTTTATATACAAAAAAATTATATTAATTTTTATATTAATCATTAATTTTATGGATAAATGTACTACTTATAACATATATGTCAAATTTTAAATTAATTAAATATATTTAATAATTTTTTAATAACATACAGATTCAATACCCTTAAAAAAATAATACAAAATAATAGGAAAAATTTTAGTAAGTTGGATCAAGAAAAAATTGTGAAAAAATATTTCAAAATTATGTTATTTAAACAAACTCTAATTAAATTAAATAGTCTAAATTAGCATATTTTAAGGTAAGTATGAAGAATGTATTAGTATTTTTTGTGATATTTTATTAGAACATCCTAATTTTGAAGTATTTTTCACTTTATTTTTGTGCAGGTCTAGTAAATAAATACTAATCTCATATAAAATATAATTTTTTTATTTGATTACAAATATTAATGAATTTTTAATTAAAATATCAAATCTGATGGTTGAATTGACAAAATATAAATGGTACAAAAAATTACAATTAATATAAAATCTATTTTCATATCTAAACAAAATTATTTGTCTTAAGAATTGATTATAATGAAAGAAATGGTCCCTTTATCTAGCTCCTAAATATTTTCTTTAAATTCAAAAAGGTCTTTGTAATTCAAACATCAAAAATAAATTTTGTACTAATTAAAAATGAATGTACTAGATTAAACATTTTTCAAAAGGTTAGGGGGACAGCTGCCCCCGCTTGTCCTATATTAGCTCCGTCCCTGGCTGGAGGTAGGGAATGAAAGAGGGTGCTAGTCGCCAAGAAACTGAGCTTATAAATTCTGTCAGATAGACGAGGCTATTTATACACGCAGATATGACATCACTCTTGAGTATTTTCCACGTTTAAGTCAATGCCGTGTAATATAAATTAAAAAGAGTAACTATCAAATGGAGGAAAAATTGAAATGAAAAGTTTATATAAATGATGTGTTTTATGTAATATTATTAAATTAATTAATATATATGATATTATAAATTTTTAAAAAATAATAATTAAATAATTAAAATTTATTTTTTAATATTTTAAATAATATAATTTATATTATATTACTGATTTTAAATTTTAAGTTTTAAAATTTAATTTCATCTATTGTTATTTAATTAATTAAAAAAATTTGACGGTAGGATATCACAAAGAAAAAAATGAATATAAAAATGAATAACAACCTAAACTTTTTTTTTTTTTGAACAAATTCGTAAGGGATCGGATTTGAACCGTTGTCTTAGAAGTAAGGGAATGCACTTAAACGTGATCTAATGCCACTGAACCCAAAGGTTCAAATGCGAATAACAACCTAAACTTGAATCATATATAATTAATATATTTATATATTTATGTATCTTTGTTTTGTAGTTTAGATGATAATGAACAATCAAAATTTTAAAATTTTTATGAGGATAAATCTATTAATGTGAAAGATATCTTTATTTGATGATTCAAACTTTAAATTTGTAACCTGATGCAATATAAAAAAACTTATGAACGCTGGTAGAGCGATGAAGCTATTACTAAAAGTAGATATGACACTACTCACCAAAATTTAAAATACTTGCTTTTAAAAGTAAATTTTTTTTATAAATTGAAAATTTTGTTAGATAAAAATTTAAAAATTAATTTTTAAAATAATTTTAAAATAAATTTTGAGACAAATAAAAAAATTTAAATATATAATTTTTTAAA